AAGTTCAGTGTATACCTACCATATAAACCAAACCAAACTCACTGCCATCAAGTCAGTTTTTGACTCATAGTGAGCTCTCCTTGGGTTTCTGAGGCAGTATCTCTATGGAAGTAGATTGCCCAGTCTTCCTTGCAAGGAGTCGTTGATGGGTTTGAACCACCAGCCTTCTGGTTAGCAGTCAAATGCCTTAGTCACTAGGCTACCAGAGCTCCCAACCTACCATATAATAGAGCCATTTTACCCCTAGTTATGTATTTCAGAAATGAAATCATATATCCAAACACTTACAGGAGCTTTGTTAGCAGTAGCCAAAAACTACAAACAAAATGTCCATCAACATGTGAACGGACAAACCAACTGTGATGTGCCCATATAAAAGGGTGTTGTCATTGTTTTGTTGTTAGGTGTCTTTGAGATGGCTCCAACTGACAGCAACCCTATGCACAACAGAACAAAACAACACCCAGTCCTACACCATCCTCAATATGTGCTATGTTTGAGCCAACTGTCAATTTCCCATTGTGTGCTCAATTTCAGACTGTAGAAGTTGGTAAAAATCTTCAGCTTCTTCATCTTTGGCTTTAGTGGCTGGTGCCTAAACTTGAATGACAGTAGTATTAACTAGTTTTCCTTTTAGGCATATGGATACTATCCTATTACCGACAGCACTGTACTTCGGGATAGATCTTGAAGTGTTCTTTTTGATGATGAATGCAACTCTATTCCTCTTCAATTTGTCATTCCTGGCATAGTAGACCATATGATTATCTGATTCAAAATGGCCAGTACCAGTCCTATTTCAGCTCATTAATGCCAAGGATATTGATTGTGATAGTTAAGGTTATATGTCAACTTGGCTGGGCCCGGTTTTGAGTGTGTGGGCAGCTAGATGTAGTGAATTCCCATGATGAAACTGGTAATCAACTGAACGGGGGAATTGACTGTGACCAGCTACTAAATAGCTACCTATGGTGGTTATGTTTGTGTGTCAACTTGGCTGGGCCTGGTTGAGTGGCTGGGCAGCTGGTGGTAGTTATTCCCCATGATGAGACTGGTAATCA